ATGTAAATCAAAACAACACTGAGATTCCACCTCACCTCAGTTAGAATGGCCATTATCAAGAAAACAAGCAATAACAGATACTTGTGAAAATGTATCCAAAAGGGAATCCTCATATATTGTTGGTAGGAATGTAAATTTATCCAAACACTCTGTAAAGCAGTATGGAGGTTTCTCAAAAAACTCAACATAGAACTACTCTACAGTAAGGGCCTTCATGCTGCAGCATAGCATAATGGAAAGTTTTAAGGAGGAAGAATAGAAGGATAATGAGAGATGAGAAATAAGAAGGGAAAAGGAACTCTCACCTCAAAGGAGGTGAAGATCCCAGATTCTTGCCATCCTGAGCAAACACTTGAATATAAGCACACAAAAAGTGGTAAAGCAAGGAATTTAATACAGAGAGAAAAGGTATACCAGTAGGAGAAACAGCAGGCTCAAAGTAAGTAACTTACAAGACAGCATAAAACATCAGCTTTCCAGAGCTAGGGGAGTTTGGGAAGAGTTCAGAAGAATGATAATGGGTTGATCTTGGGAAAATGAAGGATTATAAATTGGCAGATTTTCATCAAGGATCTCCACACATAGTTATAAGTATATGCATGAGATGCAACCCATATGCATGAAGCTTAAGGAAGGGTTTGTCCCACAAAGGTCAGGCTAAGGACACATATGTTTCCATTGTACAGGTTCCTTAATTCAGTTAGAACTGGTCCTGAGTATTTCTATGTCTAGGGAGAAGTTCTAACCACAAACTGACCACTAATTACTCACAAGGACCAGAGGCTGTGGGAGGTACCATGACAGGGGGAGGGGCCTGGTGTCAGCATTCTTTCCTATAGCTAACCACTCCACCATGATTGTCCCAGTCCATTCATAAGAGCTGAACCTTCATGACCTAAACATCTGTGAACAGTTCCTCCTCCCAGGACTGTCACAATGGTTTGTAAGGGATAAACAAAACATAGCATGGGTCAGAAGAGATTTCTAGCATCCTCTTCTAGTTGCATTTCAAGGACAAAGATGAGTGTATAGAAAAGCAACATTCTTTTCCTCAATTTACTCTCAGTAAACAATTTATTTGTCAGAAGACCTGACAAATTTATCGATGACTCAGTCCAGGTAAATCATTCCCTCCCTCAAGTCTTCTGCCTACTTCACATCATCTCTAACACTATGTACTAAGGTATGTGCTCAGATTGCTATATAACCAACTATCATGATCCATGTGGCTTGGGAGAGAATATTAACAGGGATGGTGTTGATTAAGATGCAATGTATTCATTAACTGCTTTGTTGAATGGCAAATCCTTTGTACAACTACTTAAAGATAGTTTAAAAAGCCACAGAACGTTTTTGTTTCATGTTTTTGCAGTTCTGGAAGCCACAAGTCTAAAAACAAGGTGCCAGACAATTAGGTGTCTAAGGAGGGCTCTCTTCCTGGCTTGTGAGTGGCTGCTTTCTCACTGTGTCCCCACTTGACCGTGTGTGTGTGTGTGTGTGTGTGTGTGTGTGTGTGTATGTGTGGCAAAGGTAGAGAATCCATTTTGTTAGTCTTCTTCATAAAGGCACTAACTCTATAGTTAAAGACGTTATGTCTAAATAGATAGTCACATTGAAGATCAGAGATTTATCATATGAATTCAGAGGTGACACAGTTCATTCCACCCCAGAAACCATGCAGGGGTTTTGCCCCTGTCTCTCTCCTGACATCCTGTGATGAAGCTTGAGATGCACAGAACCTGATTGTCATCTTTACTATCTCACTGGCAGTACCGGTATTTTCACTGGCATGGTATTAAAACAATATCCCTGATGCAGCAGGCTCCTTTTATGTGTAACTTGTAACTCCTGAAGTCTGTGGCTTTGTTATAACAGAATTTGTGTTGCTTAATGATGTGTGACATTCGTGACTCACATCTTTTAATATTTGAAGGACATTTTGTGATCAGTGGACACATTTTCCTAAGGTTCATCTGTATTAAGTCACTGGTGACCTAATCCCAGAATGCCCTGCCTTACAGCTAAAGACACTGCTCTACTGTTGTCTGTCCTGGGCATCATTGACAGAATCCATCACAGGCACCTGGACCAATCTGCTAAGGGAGGCTCAGAAGAACCAAGCTAGTTCCCCTACTTCTACACTGAATTTTTCACAATGGTTTGAGAAAAGGGCCTATTGTAACAATGCACAACTCCTCAACATGGGCTGGAAGTGCTACCCTTTCCTTCGGTAACTTGCTGCCTTTGTCCCAAAGTTCCACAGACAAAAAGACAATCCTTCCTTCCACTCAAAGGTGATCCCCTCAACTGGTCCCTGACAGACAGATAAGAATTGGCTCCTAAGCAACCCTGATAAAAGATGTTCAGCAGACATTGGGCAAGAAAAGCCTGGGTAACTAAGGCATTGTGTGATAGAACAGTTTAAGCCTGAATTAGAAGATGCAGGTTCTCAGGTATAAAAGAAGTAATATAGATGGTAAATATCAATATTAAAATATTGATGTGAAAATATAGCCAGATACCAGTGGCTCATGTACAAAGTCCTCACTAGTCAGGATGCTGAGATCTTAGGTTTGTAGTTCAAAGCCAGCCTAGGCAGGAAAAGTCCAAGAGACTCTTATTTCCAATTAGCCATCAAAAAGCCAGAAGTAGAGATTTGATTTACATGGAAGAGCTTGAGCCTTGAGTAATAAAGCTAAGGGACAGCACCAGGCCATGAATTCTAGCATCTAGTAGTGTGTGTGTGTGTGTGTGTGTGTGTGTGTGTGTGTGTGTGTGTGTGTGTACAGCCTGAGATAGTACAGGGTCACTGAGGAGTGATTACCACTGTTGTTGGAGATAAGATACCATTATACAAATTAGGGCACTTTTTAGAGTTAAAGGAAATACTATAATAATCATACTTGGACAATAAGTGGTTAAAACATAAGGCTAACTTGTTTGAAAGTACAGTGGGAAAATGCTATTCTTTTCTATTGTATTGTACCTCATTTAATTGTTCACTTATAGTCTACGTGTAAATTGGTAGTACTCTTTGTTTTGGCTAATTTTCATGTAGAAAATGTAAATAGCCTTTTGCTTAAAGGTTGGTTTATCATTTTTAATGTACCTATGAAGTAGAACAGAGTATATTCTGTAAATCCTAGAGTTACTTTTTTTTTCTTTTTGTGTGTTTGTGTGGATATCTGAGCTCTTTCTCTACAGCCCAGGACAGAACTTTAGACATCCTGGAAGCTCAGTTCCAAAACTCATCAATCTGGGTGCACTGGCCCTAAGAGTTTCTGAATTTGACATTTCAGAGAGATCCTGGCAGGAAAACCAGGGACGCTGACCATTGCCAAACACCATAGTCTACCGACAGTGTGGGCTCCTCCTGCCCGACACCCTGCAATGAACCTTCCCACAAGAAACTTCCTCCAGGCATAATTTATACCCTTCAGCTCCTCTTTAACTTTATCACTAAAATTTCCAACAAGGATGTTGTTTGGTACCAAAGCCACAGTGGTTTTTGTGATGTGGGTACCTCGGTGAGGACAAATCCGAAGAGCACCTCACACGAATGCCAAGAAGCCAGATGACAATGACCTAGACACTCCGCATTCGCATCACATTCAGACCAGTGTATGTGACACAGTACTTGTGAATTCCTGTGCAAGCTGACTTCCTTTGTGACCCAAAGGATGAGTGATCTGATCCTACCTGGACACCCAGCATGTGAACCATAATGATTCATCCACATAGAACCAGAGTGGTATTGTATTTTGATGTTCACAAAACAATTAGAAAATCAAACTAACCTTGTTAATGAGGAACGATGAGAGATCCTTTCAAAATCCTGTCACTTGTTACTTAGGAGAACTTAAACTGACACCCTGAGATCAGGATGTGCACAAGGAAGTGGATCAGCCCCAGTGGGAAAGGGGTACCAACTAAAGCTCTATCCCAAACCTACCTTTGAACTAAGGTACACACTTCTCTGACTTCCTTCCTTCCTTTTTTCCCTTCTCCTTTATTTTTGTGTTACTGGGTATTGAAATCAGTGTTTTAAGCTTACTAGGCAAACACTTGACTCCTCCCCCCCCACCCCAGTCCTTTTAGCTTGAGTTTCAAATAAAGTCCTGCATGCTTTACTAAGCTGCCCTTGGACCAGGATCCTCTTAACCCCGGAATTAGATATTGCTGAGATTACAGTTATGCACCACCACACCTAGCACTTCCCAGACTCTTAGCTTGACCTTTACGTTTTGTCTCTGCCTTTCTAGCTTGTGCATAACTGCTAGCTAGTCCATTCCTTGCATCCTCATTAGCATAACAAATTTTCTCTGATTGGCCCCTACTTCCAGTGGCCCAAACTACTCTCTGCACAGCTTTCTCTTTCAACAAGACCAGGATGAGCTAAACTTATGTATTCTCTGCTTCCTAAGCCTATCTACATCCTGGTGGAGACTGCATGAACCCAAACCCAAAGGAAAGAGCGCCTTCCTTTGTGGTCAGTCTCAGACTTATGATTTTCTTTGAACTGATATTGTGTTTAAAAAGAATCCACATTCTGTGGAGATTATTCTCTGAGTTTTGCATTGGTCTCATTTCTGGGGCTAGGGTTATATGGGGTTGACTCCCTTTTGAAATGGTGCACCTGGAATATGGCTCCAGGTTGGCTCTATGATCACCAGGGCAAACAACTGCAGAGCCCTTTGTTGCTAAGCTAAGATGTGTGCAAGGTTAATAGTACTAAACGTATTTTTGTCTACCATGTTTCTAACTTACAATGGGCTTCTCAGGATGACACCTTGCACAAAATGAGGAGCAATTACAGGTTATGTGACCAGAAGGTCATTTCTTGCAATATCTCAGTAGGGACTAACTACAGCCCTGTCTATTCTAGGTCGCATTAGTGTCCCCTTCTGTCCTCTACAGTTGATAGGTAGACCTGAAACAAAACAAGAATTATGTTCTTTACAGAAAAGTTTCAGGCAGAGTTTAAATCACATGTGTTAAAGAAAATAATATTTATTTGATTGCAAATACATGCAAATGGAAATACACCACATGCATTAGATGTCTGATAGTCTATAGCCTAAAAGCAGCAGTGGCTGTATCTGAGGATTCAACTCAGGGTACTTGGAAAATCTTGGGGTGTGTCAAGCTCCAAATGTATTTCAAATGAATCCATATCCCTCTGTCCAGACCAGAAAATTAAAGGCTTAAACCTCATCCTCAGTCTTGTTCAATTGCTTGTGGAGCTTGCTCAAGACTCCATTCGCTGTTATCCTGGTCCAAACAGGACCTTTGGCCTGCCAGAACCTCTCCCCTCAGGAGCTGGGGAGAAAGGGGATCCCGACTGGATCACCGTTTCCTGGGATGGGAGCTCCTCTCCTTGGTTCCTGGTTCACCCAGGCCTTTCCAGAGGAAACCCCCGTGAAAGAGTTCTGAGCTGGTTCTGCTTGACTCTTTCTCTTTTTCACAGGCATGTGGTAATGCATTTGGGTCCAGAACCTGGAATTGGGACGAACTGATTTTAAGCCTCTCCAAGTGACTGTGGGTAAGACCCGGAGAGCTTTTTTGACAAGATAAGGTAGAGACTCTGGCTCTTGGAAAGAACAGAACTTAATTAATATCAGTTTCAGGGTTTGATCATCCAAGGCAAGATTCACTGCTGCTTGTAGTTCAAAAGTTGTGGGTCCATTGATGTAGTTGGGGCTCAGGATAAATATCCCTCTTCTACTCTTCTTAATAATGCTCACGATGTCTTCTGTATACACTGGAATAAAGGAATTATTTGTGATTGATATTGTCAAAGCTTTAGTTATAATCACCTTGACACTCCCAGATCTACCCAGGCATTCCCTGTAATGAACACTATTAGGTAAACAAGAAAGGAGATATGGCTTTCCTATCGCTGTTACTATGTCACCCCAGTCAATTGAGGACACATTCTAGAATCTAATGACCCTCAAATGTATGTGCCTGTCCTAAGTTGTCGTTTCCTCTAGGAGCAAAGCTCATTGGAAGTAGGTAGTCAAGGTTACTAGAGGTCATTGGATATCCCAGACTCCTGTGGGAATGAGAGTGTCTGAGGAGGAGCAGATTTATGAGAGTTGGATGCCATATAGCAGGGGAAACCTGGTTATCTGATGGGCACCTCCTAGCTTAAACATCTGTTCCACGTAGTACTAGGCAGAGTTACAAAAGCCATGAGGGCCACTGACTTCAGATGACACCTGTGAAGGAGCAGGAAAAGTCTCTTTGTTTTAGATGTCCTTCCTCTGGCCCAATATTGAGGGGGAGGGTTGGATTTTTGTATTCTTCTGGAATATATTGTTTGTTGTTGATGAGAGATTATGGCTTGAACATGGCTCTCTGCACTGAGGTGTAAGATAATATAAGCCTTCCATGAAACCACCAACAAGACCAGAAAGCACTTGGAGAACTGGCCTTTTGGAACTCTCTCTCTCTCTCATTCTTTCTCTCTCTCTCTCTCTCTTCCTCCCTCCCTCCCACTCTCCCCCCTCTCTCCTCTCTCTCAATTCTCCCTCCCTCCATCCCTTTCTCCCCTCTCTCTCCTCTCTCTCCCTTCCTCCCCCTCTCTCTCCTCTCTCTCTCCCTCTTTCCCTCCCACTCTCCCTCCTCCCTCCTCTCTCTGTCTGTCTCTCTCTCTCTCTGTTGGCATGTAGAACCTACCTCCACCTGGAGCCACATCTCGTTCAAGCAAACACAAAGTATATCCATATTTGTTTTCCAAAACTTCAGGAAACAGATTCAAAGCCAAGTGTTCCTCACTCAGATCAGAAGAGGCCTCATTCTCCAAAGAGTTCAATTTTGCATAGGACACGAAAGCATCAAATTCCTTCTTATCTGAAGAAAAAGGAACAATGAGAAGTTAACAACAACAACAAAAAGGCAAGCAAGTGCATTTCTTTACCTACACCATGGTACACCTACAGATGTTTGAAGCATATGCTAAATGGGTTAGAAGTGAGATCTAGAATCCTTATAAAGTGGATTTTTAAAAGGAAGAAGAGCAGGTGTGTCCACTCCCAAATCACACTGATGAGCAGCATCCATTGCCTGCTCCAAATTCAATTCTACTTTATGAAGTACTTCTATGCCTCCACTGGAGTTGGATCAAACAGCCGGGGCCTCCTTTGATTCAATTGCATGTACTCAGGAGGGCCTCTGCATTTTCTTTGCAGCTGCTGTGTTTCTGTCTTGTTAGTTACAGATCAAAGAGGCATCAGCTCCATCAGAGCATGATAATCTCCAGTGAGCAAGGTACTGCAAAGCCTCAGCACAGAGCACCTTAGAGATGCAACAGTAAATTTACAGTAAATCTAGTAACTCTTAGGTCAATAATGGACTGTATATGTGACAGTGGTTCCATGAGTTTAAAATAGCAATGGAAAATTCCCTCATCACTCAGTACTGCTGAGGTAATCAAAATGCCATAGTGCTATACACTTTCCGTGTGTTTGTGGTCACACTGGTGAAAATACATTCATAAGTTAGCAATGGGTTATCAAATACACATCATATAACACATGACATAGAATTATAGTATGTTATTACAATATATAGTATAGTATATAGTATGTAATATAATTGTATATTACTGTATATAACTGTATATATTGTACTTGTAGATTATAGATATAGATATACACACTAGATAGCCTATTCCCTAGGTGTACAGTGACCTATGTGATCATGTAAACACACCTTATTATATTTACACAAAGACAAAACTGCCTAAGGAAACTGATGCATGACTCTACTTTTATTTTAATCAACATATTTAAGATTAGCACGTACTGGGTGTGGTGATACACACCTATAATCCCAGTTTCTCTGTAGGTGAAGGGAGGTGGATCCCAGTCCAAGGCCTACTCAGGCCAAATGTGAAACCCTATTTGGAAAACAAACTAAAAGTAAAAGAACTGGAGGAGGAGGCAAAAATACTTGATAAGAAATATACTCATTACCTTGCTCATGTAACTGCAATCCCTCTGTATAGTATTTTCACAATAAAAACATAAATAAAAGTAAAGGAATTACCTAACATAAAAAAGAACTGGAGGCCTAGTTCAAATGATAAAGTATTTGCCTAGCAAGCCTGAGTTCCTTAGTGCCATCAAAAATAAAAATAAAGCGAGGTAGTGATCATGCCTGCAATCCTAGCTACTCAGGAGGCTGAAATCTTAGGATCCTGGTTCAAAGCCACCAGTGTAAGAAAGTCTGTGAGTTTCTTATTTCCAATTAACCACCAGAAATCCAGAAGTGGACCTGTGGCTCAAACTGATAGAGTACTAGCCTGGAGCAGAAAAATTCAGGGATAGTGCCAAAGCCCTGAGTTCAAGCCCCATGACAGACAAAAATAAAAATAAAAAATCTGAGGAAAATAGCTCCTATGAAGGCTGTTAAGGGTTACATGCTTTGTGTCTGAATCATATCTAGTCCCCTCCCTTCTAGATGGAAAACTAAATGTATAGGATGTGATTTAGAACATTTTTTAAAAGTTTCATAAGACTCTATTGATTATATTATTACAAAGGCTCAGTAATCACTGGGGCATGCTAAAGAATTAACTGGGAATAGACATTTGGGATGAAAAACTTCCCATAGCATTATTGCAAATAGTTGGAGGCTGAGGCTGTTAGGCAGTACAATTCCAACATTTAATGCTCTCTTGTGAATTAATTTCAGGTGCTCAGCATTAGCTTTAATGATTTTGTTGGAAAATATCATTTGGCCAGCAGAGGGTGGTGTAGCACCGTGCTTGAAAGACATCTGAGCTGAAGACATCTGTCTTCAGACCCTGTTAGCACGTACAAGTAAGAGAAAAGACTCATTTAAATGTTTCTCTTTTTGAGCAACTCTTCTTCAACACAGCTTCAGAATCCTAAGGAAAATGACATGCTAGTAAAAGAAATATGAAGCAGCTTACGAAAACAATGAAGACATGGCTTAGCTAACTTGCTCCATTGAGGAAAGCTGCTTTTAAAAATACCCTTGCTCAATAGCTATGTGGATATTAATATAAAATAATATTAGCCAAAATGAACCCCAAGAAAAGTAAACAAGAGGTTTATCTATCATTGGAAGGTTAAGGGGTCACAGAAATGGAGGGACAAAGAGTGAACAAATGCAGCAGTGTTACTCACTAGTCACACAACTTGTGGGTGGAGATGAGAGGGAAAAACTGGGAGAGAGGGAGGGAAGGAGTGACATTGTTCAAAAAGAAATGTACTCATTACCTGACTTATGTAACTGTAACCCCTCTGTACATCACAAACACCTTTACCTTGATTTCTAAAGTGTTATTAATTTTTAGCTTAAAGACAGATGTAACTGCTTTCTTTTGTTTGCTTTTTGAGAGGGTTTGTTTGTGTTTGTTTATTTGTTTGGTGCTGCGGACTGAATGCTGGGCCCTGGCACATTTCTTACTCCCTCTTTGCCCAGCAATCTTATTGGATTCTCCACTTGGGAAAGTTACTGGGGTTTGGGCAGATCTCCCAGCCACTTAGGTGGTTTGTCCCTGAATTTCAGTAGAAAGGGAATCTGCTACCTCCAAACCAACAGAATCATTCTTTAAAACTGCAAATCTTCTAGCCCAAGAATTCCAAGACTAGGAAAAACAACACAAATGCGGCTCTTCTGTTCTAAGGAAGCAAGCATTCATGTACATTATGACCGTAATACTCTAATAACAGTAATAGGACTTGAATTTTGCTCAACGTACAATTTATTGGCTATTTGCACCATTCTAAAGCCCCTAGATTACAGATGAGTCTAACTGAGGAAACAGTTAAAGAAACTCTCTTTTTTCATCTTGTTAAAAAGGAATTTTATTTGGTGGACCTATGGTGAGTCCCCTAGCATTTTATATTTCTTGTCTCTTTTTTTTCTTCTTTTACAACTCTGTGTGTGTGTGTGTGTGTGTGTGTGTGTGCGAGAGAGAGAGAGAGAGAGAGAGAGAGAGAGAGTATATTAGGGCTTGAACTCAGAACCTTGTGCTCTAACTCGAATCTTTTTCTCTCAAAGCTGGTATTCTACCACTCAAACCACAGTTTTGCTGTGCTTTATTGTGGTTAATTAGAAATAAGAGTCTCATGGGCTTCTCTGGCAGAATCATCAGATCTTGCCTTCTGAGGACTGCAGCTGTAAGCCACCAGTGCTGGGCTCTTTTACAACTTCTAATGGGTTTCATTATCTTATTTTCATTTATTCATACAGTGTTCTTTGGCCACATTCACCCTCATTACCCTCCTTTTGCCTTCTCCCCTCTTCCTGCTTTTCAGACCAGTCCCTCTCAGCTAATAAGATCTCTTAAGCCAGACGGCTTGGGCCCAAAGATACACTCTAATGGCTCCCAGGGTTCAATTGGAAGTGTAGCCCCATCTTTATCACCTTTCCTCATCTGCTTTTTTCCCTGTGACAGTTACCAATATAGCCTAAATGCACTCCTGTCTCCAAAGAATAGTATTTGATGATATATTCCTGGTTTTCCTATACATGAAGGTACTATTCTAAATGCTTTGTTTTACCTCAATGATATCTCATAGTGGCTTTGTCAATTAATGCTAGTACAAGTCCTACTTTGGAAGGGAGATAAGGATACAGAGAAATCATTTGCTATATTGTCTTAGGCTGGTCTATCTAAGAGAATATTCTTGAGTCTCACAACTACCATGGTAGCATCCTCTACAAGGTGCCTGGTAAACTGTAATGAGCAAAAACTTGTTTTCCTAGGCTTTTTTGGTATATGGCCACCATACTTAAAGTATCATACTCGGAGTACTGTCTTTATCATTCAGGAAATATCCACCTCTTTCTTCTTTTCTTTTCATCTTTACTTAATTATGCAAAATGGTTTTGATTCAACAAATTCATTTATAAATATAATGCATCTTGATCAATGTTATCCCTTCTATTATTCCTTTCCATTTTCCCCAACTTCACCCACAGCCTCAATTTCATGGTCCATTGTCACATATGTACATTGGCTATGGCTGGATTTGCTGGCCCTTCCTCTATCCATTTGTCTCTCCCCCCGCTTGAATGTCCATTTCTTGGGCTTCTCCCTCATTGTCTATCCTAGATGGCAGGAAGCCAGTAAGACGTCCTATGGCAGATCCAAGGAAATGAAGCCAATGGGTAGTGAGGGCATGTCTGTTGTTCTGGTCTTACTAAGTGATGAGGGAAACAACAGAGGATGGCATGTTGGGCTGATCTTACCCCCAAGAGTCTCATCCTTGTTCTGGTAGGTTCGGCATAGAAGCACTATTTCAATCCAGTAGATGTAGAGGAGAGCACTTGCCACCAGTAAGCCCACCAGAGTGATGATGGTGACAAGCAGGATGTACACGAACACCACTAGGGGGAGACACAGGAACTGTGAGCCAGCACTGAGGCACTATTGCTGGGCAAGATCACACTGATGCCTACACTGAGGGTCTGTCTTGCTCAGCACCAGTTCTTACTCCATCATCATCAATTGCACTATAGTTATCAATTTACTGAGTAGATGAATGATTACATCATATTAACTTCTCTGAGCATCTTGCTGAAAAAAATTTTTGAAAGCTATTGCTTCCTGGAAATTTCAATGATTTGTGACATACACATAAACTTTGGAACACTAATCAAGATGACTCCCTTTTTCCTCCCTCCCCCACTCATCAACATATGAATTCATCGTGATCTCTGAAAGCCAGCCTGGGAAGGGAACAAGGTCTGAGTACTACTACCTAAGGTACTGTTACCTAACTACTGCTACCTAAGGTCCCTGGGTGTATCTATAGGATAAATGGATGAATTGAGTTGAGTGAACGAGCGAATGAACTATGTGAATAAGTAAGAGTGAGTGATTGAATAAATGAATGAATAAATGGACGAAGGAATGAGGGAATGATATTCCTAGAGGATTAGCTAAGAAAACTAGCTCTAGAACATACATTTTACTACTTGTATGACTTTGGCCAAGGTTTTACTTGGGCTGACTCTTTGTCCAATAGGTAGGAAATATTTACCTATTATTATTGTCCCTATTTTTTTGGAAAGCCATTTCCCCTTTTGGAGGAAGGTAGTTACATGCATTTTGGGATAATCACCCAGGCTCACCTCCCTTCTTTTCCGTCAGTTGGATGGTCTTGGTTATGTTGCCAATGGAGTTCTGGGCAAAACAAACAAACTTTCTGCTCAGATGTTTCTTTTTGACTTCTTTCAAGCAGATAACACCTTCAATTTCTTCTTCCTTGGGAGCCAATTGAATTCTAGGAAAGAAGAGGAAATTCCACATCTATTCAACAACACAAACAGATGCCTTGGTAATGTTTTTTAGCACTTACAAGCAGATAACCGTTTGGCTTTGAGAAGAACTGTGAAATAAATAATATAACATGATAGAGAAGACATAAAAAATAGAATAGAAATATCATTCTTGGTTAAGTTGTTAACTCTGATAAGCATTTGCACTATGATTTAACTTAATTGTAGCTCTTGTGTGAGTTCCTTATGCAAGAATCCCCCCCCCCACAGGAAGCACAGAAATGGTGGGACAAAGGGTAAACTAATTCAGCAGTGAAACCCACTAAACACTATGTTGAAAATACACTATATAATTTATGGGGAGGGGGATCAGGAGGGAAAACCTGGGAGAAAATGAGGGAAGGGGCGACACTGTTGAAAAAGAAATGTAATTGTTTCCTGACTTATGTAACTGTAAAACCTCTGTTCATCACCTTTATAATAAAAATTAAACAAAAGAAGTCCCCTTGCTCTGATCACATGAAATAATATGTATCAAAATGAACTTCAGGAGATGGAACAAAAGGTTTTTTTTCTTTGTTGTTTTCATTTTATTTTTTTTGTATTGTTTGTTGGTTTAGCTGACTTTGGGAGGGTAAAGGAGAGCCCAGAACTAGAGGGAAAAAAAGTGAACAAAGGTAGCAGTGTACTCACCAGACACTATGTTGAAAATGAGCTATACAATTTGTGGGTGGGGATGGGAGGGAAAAACTAAGAGAAAGCAAGGGAAAGGGTACTATTGTTATTACCTGATTTATGTAACTATAATCCTTCTGTACATCACCTTTATAATAACAATAAAAAAAATTAAACAATTCCGCTTGGCAACAGTTAATAACAATAACTGAAGAATAACATAAAAATAATCCATGCTAAGGACCTAGCATATGTCAGATGTTCTTCTAATCAAGGAGTATGGATTGTTCCATTTCCCTTACTCCTCACCAAACCCTACAAAGTAATCATCTGAGCATCCTAACTTGGCCATGACATGGCCGGCCCAGAAGGTGAATGAGCAACCCTGGATCACATAGCTGGGAAATGGCTGAAGCTATGCCATCCTAGGGCATGTCACACAGAATGAGATCCAAAACTTCAGAGAACTGCGCTTGCTTTGGGGGGCCCTGGATGGCCCTGAATATCTAATATCCCGTTCTATTTACTTAACTATCCACCAGTGAACCTTGCCCACTGATTTGAGTTTCATACTACAGAGAACAAGAAGCAGAGTCTGGTTTCTCCTAAGTGTCTGTTCAGTATTTAAAGACAGGTAACTTACTTGAAACTCAACTCCCAGCTTAAAATGCTTTGGCTCATCGCTGCCATTTCCAGTGGAATGTTTACACTGTTAATGATTCTGAAATGTTGGATCCCTGAATTCACAACACAGTGAGCTCACAACACTTGTACTAGTGCAAGTGAGGGTGATGTGCCTGGTAGAAACACCTTTCCTATTTGCTGGATGTGCTCCTTACATTCCAGCAGCTTGTGTCAGTATGTCTGTTAGTAGGCTAGCTCAATTCTTAAAGCAACCACATGACACTGAGCTTTAAATCCACTTTAGGGCTCTGGGTATATAACTCACTGCTAGAGCACATGCTGAGCATGCTCTTAAAAATAACTGGAACACCAAAACAGTACAATAGTTTTGGGGGAAAAAAAAAACTTCAATGTAGCCTGAGATGATCTCATGACACATAAACATCAGAGAGTGTTTATATCAAGTTAAGATGTTGTGATATCACGGAGTGGTACAATCTTATGGGATTGGACTTAAATGTTACATATGACTGTTATCCTATGGTCTCATGCTCCCCACCCCAGATTTAAAATTAGCATATTGCATTTTCAATTTTTATGTTCACCACTAGTTGGTGCTAGAGGTAACCCTACTAAATCCACTGTGTAGGTATATTTTAGCCATATGTAAAGGTGGGCTACAAAGAGAAAATTCCATAGTTTTTGTTCTATTTTCTTGTTTGTTTGTTTGTTTTTGCTTACCTTTTCTCCTCACATAGTGGGATTTCCCACTCCTGGGTGGAATTCCTGCTGTACCACCTTATGATAGGTCGAAAGTCCCTTTGGAAGCCAAATCGTACTTTGCAGGGCAGGACGAAAGGCTTTCCTGACATGAAAAAGTCAGAGAAAACAGGAAGTATGTAAGAACACTGTCTTGTGACAGGAGGAAGAGGTAAGCACAGGATTTATAATGATACAGCCATGTCTGCAGGTGACACTGGGGTGCTAAACGTGACCACATAGCTACATGTCCCATGTAGGTGCACATGACCATATGTGATCATCCCTTATGGAAATGCTTATATCTTAAACATGTGATGGAATGTTTTTAGCATGAAGATAAACAGGATCATATAACTAAGGGTCCTGAGGGTCCTGCAAAGAAACTAGGAACTAGGGAAAGCACGAGAGAGAAAAAGGGAGAGAGGGAGAGGGAGGGAGAATGTCAAGGACATTTCCTAGCCAAAGTTAATGCAAAAATCTATCCTAAAAATAAACCACAAAAAGCAATAAATTGCTCACACCTATAATCTCAGGTACATGAGAAATGGAGATAGGAAAATCATAGTCTATGCCAAGGAATAAAGTAAATGACCTTGTCTGGAAACCAACTAAAACGTAGTAAATCTGGGCACATGGTCCTAGTGGTAGACCAGTTGTCTAACAAGTGAGAGGTCCTATGTTCACATCCTGGTCTCTCAAAAAATATGTAGAAAATATAGCAGTATTAACTAATACTTGTAAATACAATGAACATTGTGGCGTTGGTAAACTATGTTGTTTAAAGAAGAAATTATTAGATGCTCAGCTGTTTCTCTGAAAACGCACTATACATGTGCAAGCATCCTTTGGAACTATCCACTTTTCAATAGCCCCTAGAAGGAATGTCCAGATATGCTGTGCCTCAAACTCAGAATCCATCCCTAAAATTACACGGATGAGTATCTTTTCAACTTATTGTATTCCCAACATTATTTAAAGGTCACTAATATTGTATGTTACTTACCAATATGTTTGGGGTTAGTTTTTTTTTTTCTCCCTTCTTTCTTCCTTCCATTCTTGTGGTTTTCTACTTCTACCCTCAAGACATACCACTACTGCCACCTAGTGACTTATTCCACAGCAGTAACATTTCTTGACCATAATGCATCTTTTACTAGTATGGAAGGCACCACCTATTTTATTAGACCAATCACCCATTAATGTGGTCTCAAACCCAACAATTCTTACCTGACTGTGCGAACACATAAGTGTTGCTGAACTTGACAAAATGAAAGGAGACAATGAGGAACATAATTTCTCCTCTACCCCAAAGAGGACAGACACTATTTTAGAATATATTGTTGCAGGGTTGGTAATATTCCACTTCTCTTAAGGACCACACCAAATAACATATTCATAGTCAATTTTACTTAAGTTGGTAAATTTATAGGCATAACAAATGGACTTAACTAATCTTAATAACCACTTGTTCCTGGGAAGAATCTAAACCTTATTGATGCACCAGCACCAATCCTCATTGGCCCATTCTTGTTCAGTGCAACTCTGTAAAGAACAGGTACACCAGCTACTAGAGCAGAATGTCATTCAGGAGTGATGATACAACCCAACTTACCAAGGTCTACTTCCAAGATGTTTTTGATGGGATTCACAATATCTGGTTTCTTCTTGGTGTCTTCAACTAAAAGACGAAAATAAAACTCATTATTTGCACTGAAAAAAATCTGAAGGCCTGTTAGTTGAAGAGATGGAACCAAAAACATTGAGATCAAAGTATTGACCTAAGATTCCAAATCTTCAGGACTGGGACATTAGTTTGTAGCTTCGAGTGCCATACTAGTTTTTCCTTAACCCATATCTGCCTGTGTATATTGTCATCATTACAAATTTGCTCACCCAGTGTAGACTTGATCCCCATCTCTGTTTTCTACTACAAGATTTCATTCTGATGCCAACTGGCTGAGTAGCCCAATAGAAGAGAAAACCCACCCATGAAACTACACACATCAATTGGGACTGAGCCCACCCTCGCCATGCCTAAACTCACAGTTTGGGTCAGAATAGTCCAGCCTTTAATTATTGTATCCCTCTCTTTCCTCCTATAAACTTCCAACTGTGCTTCCACTGTTAAACTTCTTCCTGAAGGTGTTCTATATTATTATCTTTTTTAAAAATCAAAGTCATCCACTCTCAGAACATTCTCACAGACATTCTTCTTCATTTACACCACACAGATCTTACATCTATAATTTTTTGGGGGGGTCCGGTCGTGGGGCCTGAACTCTGGGCCTGGGCGCTGTCCCTCAGCTCTTTAGCTCAAGGCTAGCACTCTACCACTTGAGCCACACATCACCACTTCCGGCTTTTTTCTTATGTGGTGCTGAGGAATCGAACCCAGGGCCTCATGCATGCAAGGCAAGTGCTCTACCACTGAGCCACCTTCCCAGCCCAAAATCAACTTTCTTCTTTTAACTGTATTTTTTTTCGACTTTTCTTTCTTACTACTGGGGATCGAACCCAAGATGTTGCACTTGGTAAGTAAGCGCTTTGCCACTGAGCTACATCCCAGCCCTTACATCTATAATTTTACAATACCTTTCTCTCTGTCTGTCTGTATCAGTACTTGTCCTTGCCTAGCTAGTTTCTTTTAGCAAAAGAGAAATGATGGTGACATTGCCAAAGATACATTTTACTCATAAACTCCTTTGTTCAACAACAACTACTTTTGTAAAATAAAAGTTAAAAAATAAAAAAGAGAAAAGACTTCATTGTACATCCTGCCTCATGCATTTTCCCTCCTTCTCAGACATATTCCTGAGTTTTTGTTTTTTGTCTGTTTGTTGTTGCTGTTCAGTACAACAACAATGATCTGGAGCTCAGACTTAGAACCTGTGTTTGCTAGGCATGTACTTTGCTGTTTAAGCCACACTGTCTCTCTCTTCTGCACATAGGGTCTCATACTTTTGCCTGGGATTGGCATCAGACTATTATCATCCTACCACTCCATCCTCAGTCTCTGAAATTTCAGGTGTGTACACAGACCACAATGCCAGGTCCAGTGAAAGAGTTTCAGGTGTTCATTTCCCCCGACCTCTCACCTCCTATGGAGTCTGATTTCTTCCCTCACCACACTACTGGAACTTGTTTGCACAAAGTAGCCAGTGAAACCTTTAAAAATTAACAATAACAAAACTAAAGCAAAAATCCCAAACCAAACAAAAACCCTCCAAACTTCTTGGGAGGTAGGATTATTGATGTTTTCTACTTCAAGTGAACCATGGTCACTTTTTCTCCCTAAATGGACAGGATATAATTGTAATTGATCAATTAGAGCTTAGATAAATATTGAGACAAAAATCTCACTTACCAATGGTTCTGACTTGAACAACAGCTCTAACTGTCCATGAACTCGTATTATCTGACTGAGTATAGTCACACACATACATGCCCTGGTGATAGACAAATGTTTCCTTCACTTTGATCCAATTTTTCTTTTCTTCAGAGAGGAGTTTTCCATTCTAATTTAAGGAGTGAAAAGTAAATACTATTCTTTAACCAGAGAATTTTTTTATAAATATTAATCAAACCTATGAAAAACTTCATACATGTGAACCAGGTAGGAGATGTTCTGTTTTAAATAATGAAATCCCACAGTTCTGAAGACATGGTGTTCAACACTGTTTGTGTAAGTTTTGTAAGTTTCTCAGTAAGTGGCACTGTGTGAATTAGGCATCTCCTTATCGGTAGCTTTTGAAAGTAGCCTTTTGTTTCTTGACATCTAGTTTGTCTTGGACAAAATGAGGATCCCTTCTCTCAGCAAGCAGTCTAAGACTCTTCCCTCTTAGTAATAAGGCATTCTGTAGTACCATCCTCAGGGAACACTCAGAAAGTTCTGGCTTAGCTCACACCTGAGTCTATTCAGAGCCTTGAAGGATACATAGGAATCCACCAATGACAGGCAAGCATCACTTTAGGAGCATTTCATGCAAAGCACAGTTGTGGAAAGCAAGGCCAAGGTGCGAGGCTTAATGAACTATGAAAATAGGTGTGTTTGTTCTTTGTCTCTGTCAAAAGTAGTGAAGCGGGATGGCCACTGTACTCATTGTAAAGCATGTGTGAATAAATGAAAGTATAAGTAACAAGGTTTTCAAGGCTAGTCACATGATCAGACAGTTTTAAAAAAAAACGACTGGTGGCTAAGAATGGAAATGCTTAGAAATTTAAGCAGAGTGGTACTGGTACATGAATAGACCTGAGGAATGGAATATAACGGAAGACCCAGAAATGATCCCACAGATCTATGGCCATCTCATCTTTGATAGGGGAGCCAAAATCATCAGATGGGAGAAAGACAACCTCTTCAATAAACGGTGCTAGCAAGATTGGCTATTCACGTATAGAAAACTGAAGTTAGATCCTTATGTTTCACCCTGCACCAGAATCAACTACAAATGGATCAAAGACCTCGAGGTAAGAGCAGATACCCTGAAAATATTACAGGTAGGGATAGGGGATACACTAGGACTTCTTGGCACATATCAAAACTTCCCAAATAAAAATCCAGAAACATGGCAAATCACAGAAAGTCAGTATACATGGGATCACATTAAACTGCAGAGCTTCTGTATGGCGAAGAACATAGGTAGCAAGATAAATAGAAAGCCCACAGATTGGGAGATCTTCACTAACTATACAACAGACAAGGGCCTCAATAAAAAATATACCTAGAAGTCAAAAAATTAAGCCCCCCATTAAAAAAATCTACAAAGAAACAAACACCTCATTAATAAGTGGGCTTAAAAACTTAAAAAGAGACTTCTCTGGGGAGGAAATAAGAATAGTTAATTGATACATGAAGAATTCCAGTAAAAAGTAAAGGGGGAATCCACAAACCAATGAAATGATAAGATGCTGATTGTAATTTTTTTCCTTGTATTTTCACATGCAATTTTCCACAGGATTTTCTGACTTGGTTTTACACATTTTAATTGCACCTATTTTATAAATGAGAAAACAAAGGTTCTGGAGATGAAACAAATGAGAGTCTACTAATTAGAGAAATCAGAAGTAGCCAAAAAGTGTCTGATTCTTATATGTCATGTGTTTAGTGGGGAATTTCACTTCTATGTTGCCCCTGACTGAGAGACTGGGGACTTCACTATCAGTGTCTGCTATAGTTCCTGTAACCCAAAGAAGAGTTTCTAGTAGGTTGGCAGGAGGGCCAGATAGGTCAGAGAGGGTGGCAGCTGCACAAAAGCAGAAAACCAAAGATGAGAAATGGGGACAGACAAGGTTCACGAACACCTAAAAAAATGAGAACGGGAACCCTCATAAATTTAACTTTAGAAAACAATTGTAACATACAAAGGACAGAATTTAGAGTGGATTTGTGCAAAAATACCAAGAGAAAATAACAGAGAGAAGGTACAGAGCTGCTGCCAAGATCTCCCTAGTGGCTACCTCAGGTGGACCCACTAGGGAGAAGGGGTAATGACAAAATGCACTTGGTTTTTGTTTTCTAACTATGAAAATATGGCTTAAGGTGTATCATTAAGACTTTATGAGACAGAATTGAAAGGGAATATTGAAGGAAAGAAATTGAAAAATTAAATTTTTAGCCAGGATGGGAAAATTCTCAAATAATATAATCACAGTAGGACAGCCAGAGACTGAGCCAGCCAGGTGGATGTGAAATGACCATGGGACAAAATAGGAAAGGAGAAACATCCTTTGTGTGAATCTGGGTCAAATGTGATGATGGGCCAGAATTGTACTGTGTGTGAACAGTGTCAGTCATAGCAAGAGGCAAGAAAAGAAGACCAACAAAACCCTGGAGAAACTAGAAAAGGATTAAAAATGAGGCAAGAGTGGTTACTGTTTTGTCTAATAAGAGTAGTTCTTACAGTCCTATTCTATTCCTCACCAAGCTTTACTGCCAGGCAGTACAGCACCAGGAGCTTCAGGCATATTATACTGTTCTCTAGGAATGGTTCTACCTGGAATCCAGTCAAAGGAGGTTTTCTGCTTGTACTTGTACCACCTACCCGGATGGAACTCCCAGGGTTTGCATTGTTCCCATTGTGATCTTCAAGTCTTCATTTCCACTTTAACATTCTCTATCATAGACTCATTGTGTTCAAATCGGTATACCTCCCTTCTCTGCCACTTCTGATTGGTACCCATCTCTTTCTCCAACTTGACAAATACTGTGAAATATTTTGAGCCATAAATACCCCAAATATCATAGCCATTTCCTTCCCTGCCTCAGATGAAATGTTTATTCTTTTATTTTCTTCCGTGAATGTATCATTGGCATCGGTCACCTTCATTCTGTTCCCACTGCTAGGCCTGTGGATCAAAACGCACTTGTAAACCTCAAACACAGCAATAAGATCCCAATGACCATATTGTACGAGCCATCCACGTCCTGATTGCCAGTCGAGTCTTAATTACACCACTTAAGAACTCTTCACTCCTACCAGAATGAGCTGCTCATCACTCACTGAATATACCTTTTTGTTTTTCTGCTTCTGAAATTTAATTTGTTCGTTCTTGATAAATATAGCTCTTGCTCCAATCATCTGACATTCTACTTTCTTATAAATTATGTAGTAGTGTTTACCTTTTAATAGAAAATGATTAATTATGAAAAGTTTTTGGTGAGGGACCAGATTTCAATCCCAAGGGAAAAATCATGAGTAAGTTATGAAACAGATGGTTTATGAATACTTGGGAAAGAAAGTGGCAGATAATATCAGTTGGCTTGAATTCTCTAACAATCATCTCCGTCATTTCATGTATCTCCATAATTGAACTATGAGATCAGAGGCGCATCGTGGACCTTCACTGTACACGTAATTGAGAAAATATTTTCATGATCTCCCTGTTAAATAAAGATATTTGTCAGCTGAATGATTGATAGGCTATCTGGATGCCTTCTTTACTAAATCTAGCAATACTGTCTGTAGTGGATTAAGGTCCATATATATGTAGAAGAATCACACTGAGGTCATCAGCTGAGAACTGTATCATCCATCAGTGCTCTCTTTCTTATTGTAAGGGTTATATACAGATGGGTTACAGTTACATAAGTAAGGTAATGAGTAAATTTCTTGTCTAAAAGTATCAGCCCCTCCCCTGTTTGCTCCTACATTCATTCCCTAGTAACCTGAGAGGCTGAGATTGGAAGATCATGGTTCAAAGTCAGCCAAAGAAAAATTACACAAAACCTCTTCTCAACCCACAGGTTCTCATTATAGTGTCTGTATGTCATCATGAAGTTGAAACTGAGAGGATCCAGATTCTAGCCCATAAAAAAGCCCATAAAACTCCAACTCAATAAAAGAAGTTAGATACAGTGGTGTATGGATAGCTGTTATCCCAGCTATGATGAGAAGAATAAAATAGGTAGATGTGTGCCTTGACAGGAAGTAACCCTATCTCAAAAATAATGCATGCACCAAAGGACTAGAAGCATGGCCCAGACATAGCCTGAGGCCCTGAGTTCATAACTCACTTCCCCCCGACAAAAATGTATATGCATCAAAATTCGAATTCCAATGTCACAGGGATAGGAGAAGACATGTAAAAGAATGAAATTGGATCAGTCTCTCACACCTTATATAAATAAGAAGCTCAAAACAGATTAAATATAAGAGCTACTGTTATCAAGCTGCTAAAAGAAAACAGAGGAAAAGCTCCCCCTTTTCTCCGTTTCTCTGGGAAGCCTTTATTTAGGTTAAGCCTCAAAGTATAGGTGGCCAAAGCAAAAAATAGACAAATGGGTTTGCACCCAACTAAAATGTGTCTGCACAGAAAAGGAAACAACTGGCAATCAGAATAGGCAACTACAGAATGGGAGAAGGAAATATTTGTGAATAAGGGAAACCATGGGACCTATGTTTCTTTGGGCCTGGCTTACTTCACTTAATATTTTTTTCCAAGTCTTTCCATTTCCTAACCAATGGGGCAATGTCATACTTTCTGATGAAGGCATAGAATTCCATTGTGTACATATACATTTTCTTGATCCATTCATCCACTGAGGGACATCCATATCTTAACTATGGTAAATAATGCTGCAATAAGCATAGTTGTTCTGGTAGCTTTAGTATCTTCTTGTTTGTGATCATTCGGGTAAATGCCCAAAAGTGGAATTGCTGGGTCATAGGGGAGCTCTATGTGGAGTCTTTTGAGGAACCTCCATACTACTTTCCAAAGTGGTTGAACAAGTTTACACTCCCACCAACAATGCAGTAGGGTTCCCTTCTGGCCACATCCCCTCCAGCATCTGTTGTTAATACAGTTCTTGATTATAGCCATTCTACCTGAGGTGAGGTGGAATCTCAATGTTGTTTTGATTTGCATTTTTTATGGCTAGAAAGGTTGAGCATTTCTTCATGTGTCTATTGGTCATCCTTTTTTCCTCTTCAGAGGAGTTTCTCTTTAAGTCTTTAGTCCACTTATTTATGGGGCAGTTGTTTCTTTGAGGATTTGTTGTTGGGTGATTTAAATTTTTAAGTTCCAAGTATATTTTAGATATGAAACCCTTGTCTGGTGTATCTCTAGCGAAGACCTTCTCACAATCTGTAATTTTAAAAAAAATTCCTAGCTCTGAATTTTTATGTCTATTAAAAATATTGTGACTGTTCATTGGTAATTCCCACCTATTACCTTAACTACTCAAAAGGTTAAGATCTGAGAATCACAGTTCAAAGCCATCTTAGAAGGAAAATCCTTGAAAAACATCTCCAATTAACCACCCAAACACTGAAAGTAGAGCTGTGGCTCAAGTGGTAGAGGGCTAGCCTTGAGCAAAAAAAAAACAAAAACAAAAACAAAAACAGGGAAAGCAAAGCCCTTGAGTTCAAGCCCAGCATTCACACACACACACACACACACACACACACACATTCTGATATAGATATAGATATCTATATCTATATCAGAATGCTCTAGAAACTCTAAGCCCATGAATTGACCTCAGTAGGTTACTCCAGCGTGTCTCATCTCTTTAAGATGATCAGAAGTGCAGCTTACCCACTATGTGATCATTGGGGGAATCATAAAGGAAAGGACTAGTAGGTGTTACTTCCTGCCCGATGTCTACTTTTGATGACATGCTACCCTGAGCTATGTGACTTCCAAGTGGCCCACCATGTGTACCAATCCTTGTGCATGTATTTGAGCATGTATTTGGGCAGACAGGAGCTGCCCAAAGCTGTGTAAGAAGGAAACTAACTTAACAACAGCTATTGTTCACCTCTCTTAGGAGAACTGATCTTCACCATGAAATACATTGTGACATTCATTGTCAAAACCCCCAGAGAAGTGAAACAAAGCTTCCTTTTTTGTGACTGTCATACAACTTTAGAGGTGATCTCATAAAGGCAATATATTCAGAGAGTGATTGAGATCAATTCCATGTGCAAACACTGCTCACTTCAGTATACAACCTTGAACAGTCAAGTGCATTATCCTGTGAAGTAGCTGCTTTGCTGACCTAGTAAGTACCTACCTAGACAGTCAGACACCTGTTATCCCAGATATTTTCAATGGAGGGAAGTTTTGTTCTTGAAAGAGAACTGAAAATAATGAACAGAACTATTGTTTTTCCACAATAACCTCTTTTTTTTCTTTTTGATGCCAGTTCCAGGGCTTGAACTCAGGGCCTGAGCTCTGTCCCTGAGCTTCTTTTACTCAAGCCTAGTGCTCTTAAGCCATAGTGCCACTTCTGGCTTTTTTGGTAGTTCATTGGAGAAAATGTCTAGGACAAGCAGAAAAGGTCAAAAGCCATGTACATAGGACCATATAAAATGATGCTAAGCGAAGTGAACCCCAAGATAAGGACAGAAGTGGTTTAATCTTTCTTTCTGTTGTTTTTAATATATTTATAATGTACTATGTGGGTTTTTTGGTTTCTTTTGTATGTTTTTCCCCAACGGTATAACCCCTGTTTTCACTGTATTTGATTCTGATGCCCTGCATGTTATATATACATTTTTCTAATTTTGGAAGTGGAAGGGAAATAACAAAATGCTGAAATAAGGATACAGGTTGACCCATTGTAACAATGAGATGTGCAAGATACTATGTAGAAAACGAACTTTACAACTTAGGCAAGGGGAGAGTGGGGAGTTGGGGAGGTGAACAGGAAAGGTAGGAAATGTACTCATTACCTAACTTATATAACTGTAACCCCTTGGAACAGTATCTTTACAATAAAAAATATATACAAAAAATAGTCTCATAGAATTCCCTGCCCAGGCTAGCTTTGAACCACAGTCCTTAGATCTCAGCCTCCTGAGTAGCTGGGATTACAGCTGTAAGCCAAGCCACCAGAGCCTAACAATAACCTCATTCTTGAAGGTGTGAAATTCTTGTTTCTTAAATAAGAATTGTACTGTGGCCAGCATTCCTTATGTCATTTTTTAATTGCTAACATGAGACCAGGGCCATGATCTTTTGTTTTCTCTCTTTTTTCTTTCTCCCTCTTTTCCTCTCTCTCTTTTTCTCTTTATTTTTTCTTTATTTTTTGTGCCAGTACTGAGGCTTGAACTTAAGGAGTCAGACTCCTGCTTAGGTTTTTCACTCAAGGCTGGCACTCTACCACTTGAGCCACACCTTTACTTTTGGCTTTTTGCTGCTTAAATGAGATAAGAGTCTCTAGGATTTGCCTGCCAAGTCTGACTTCAAACCAAGATCCTCTGATCTCAGCCTCCTGAGTAGCTAGAATTATAGGCATAAATGACAAGTTCCTGTCTGTATACTTATTTTTATAATGAATGTAAGAATACTGTCCACTTATGCAATCTCAAGACTAGTGAGGAAATGTCTTCTCATTCATATCTTCATAACTGTACTTCTAGAAGTCTTTCATTGTTGGGCTTCGGAGTGTATGAAACCACAAAATAAATATAACTTACTATTGTTCTTTTAACATTAAGCAGAAGCAAATCACAATCATACTTTTATATTATAAGTATATATATTAAGATATATATAATAAAGTCAAATTTAAATGTTTACATGTTTTTCGATGGTAGTTGTGTTTCAAACAGTTATTGTGATAGAAGGCAACTTTGACTCCTTTCCAAGATTCAGCTGGGATAGGACTCTGTTGGACAAGATGATCTCACCATGCTTACATATTGACTACAGTTGAAAAAGCTATAAAACACAGTGGAGATGAGCAATGTCTTTCCTGTGGAAATTTACTTACTTGTGGTCCATAGCTCAACATCCTTATGAAACCTGACTCTGTTCCCTTCTGTTCTTAGCACTGAACTCACTCTCCACCGCCTCACCTCTGCAAAGCATCTGTCATCCAGAATCATTCTTGTTTTTTTCCCAACTGTCCTCCTACTTGGAAGTTTATCACCCTCCTACTTCTTCCACAACCCTTTAATAGTTGCTGATAAGTGTTTCTTTCCCCTCACCAATGATTATAGCTTTCAAAAGACAGTGAAATCCCCTGACCTGTCATTTGGCCTCTCACAGGTCAGTAAGCTTATATCTTATTTTAGTTGCAATATACTTGAATATTAGACATTTTTCTGGTATTGATCATAAAAGAAGATTCTACTAGTATGATTATCAGGCTTTTTTTCTATCTAGGGGCAAAGTGGTTTTACAATGTCAGGTCTCTTACAGAATCCCAGGGGTGGTCCCTGGGTAGCTCTTACACCTCAGATTCTAAATGCCCCAATTCCATATACCTGTTGAGACGTTAACATAAAAACAGTGCTCTTGGGTCAAGTTCAGAGAGTTCATTCTTACCCTGTACCAGGTCACCTCTGGTCTTTGTGCATCTTGACTTTGACAGTTGAGACTGGGACAATAAATGTTGTCAGTGGTACCAAGTATGAGGTATTGCATTTGTTGTACTGTATCTTTGCAGTGTCTAATTATCTGAGGCTTAACTTCTACAGTTATCTTGACACAACAGGCCACATCTTGGGGGCTCCTAGGAGATTAACAAGATCCTGTGAACATAGACATTTTATCTAGATAATGAAAGATTTGGGGAATGTTTACCCATAAGAATGCATTTGGGACATACCTCATCCTGGCTCTGCAAATGTATGAGCCAGTATTATTCGTCTCTGGGTTCAAAATGCGAAGCATGTTCTTGTCCTGAATGGCGATGTGAGAGTACTGGTTAGTAATCTTCTCCAATGTCCCTCCATTCTGATACTGTAAATACCACTGGATATCTACTGGATCAGAACTACCATTACAAAATGGCTGTTCTGGGTTTCGTTGATGTCTGTGGGAGAAATGTGATTTTTGCAACTGTGTTAAGTCACAAAATAAGACAAACTCTTCACTCTTTGCAGAATATTTCCAAAGGAGTTTTTGGGTGGAACAGTCTGAAAAAATCATAATAAACAAAACAACATAGAAATTCATTAGAAGTTGAAATTCTAACTTATATTTACAAATAATGCTTGACCTAACCAAGTAGTAAATTCCCTTCTTTTATTTTTTAAATTTGGTGTTTGTGTTCCCACCCTGTGGCTTGTGTACAGCCAGTACAGAAGCTTGGACTTCTAGGGAACAATATCTTAGTTGTCAACCCTTCCTCTTCAGCTGATCCAGTTGAGTTCCCAGATGTGGTAACTGAGTGCCCATCAGTGTTCCATATTAACTGAAAGCTGTGCCACCCAGTAGTTCTCCTCCATGCCCTTTTCGACAATGGGAAGGAAACCCTATGCTCTAATAGGTCACAGTACTGATTTGCCACTCTCTACTTTGACCACAAGACTCACAGTGCTAACATGAAAAGTGAAATCCCCTACCTGAAAGATCAAATCCTGTAATTCTTGCTCCTGTGGTAAGCCAAAGAAACATCCAGCTCAAACAGAGCATGGGTCTTTCTCCCTTGTTTCTTGTTTCTGTCATGGCTTCAGTGGCCAGAGGAGAGTATATGGAGATTTGAAGCTCCTTCCTAGGTGTCTTTTTCATTTCTAAAACTAGAAATGGAGAAATCATAACCAGTAACCCAAAGGCAAGTCATACAGGAAGCTTTGAAAGGACAGGAACCACCCAAGAAGGCTTTCACATGCCCACACTTGGCGTGGGCATTTTCACTGATGTGAGTCTATCTCTTCCTTTTTCCTGTGTAGCAGTTCTCACACATCCAAGGGAGAAAGAACCACTCAAGCTCACAGCAGCCTTTGGGCCCAGGTACCATACAGCATGTTCCCCTAATACCATGTTTCCTAATTCTTTGTTTTGCCATTTGATGTACATGTTTCCATGAGTAATTTGAAAAGAAAATGAAAAGGATTCAGTTTACATTTTCTTTGAGACATGACCCAGGTTGGATAAAAATACCATCTTCTTCACAGTTATGAGAATCTAGACACCGAGCTATAAAATCTGAGAATGTCTGCCATGGTGCTAGTTTATAATCAACGTTAGAGAAGTAAGAATGAAAAATCTGTCACTGATAATCTTCTTAGATATAAAAGAGGAAGTAGCTGCCTTGAAGAGTCAAAAGTCAGCGCAGGGCTATGTCCATGGTGAGTTTGTCTTCTATGTTGATAGGGTGACTGTGGGAACTTTAACCACTGGTAATCAAGCAAAAGTGGGTAATATTTATCACTTAACTTTTTTTAACAGAAAATAAAAGTATTTCATTTAGGTATGTATTGCTAGAATTCTGGACTATTGTCATTAACACAGAAATAACCTATGTCTTGCTGATGGCATAGCACGATGAAAAATACTTATCTGTCATGCATGAGGTTCTGGTTTGATCCCTAGCATGGCAAAATATGAATTAATTATTCAATCCCATTTGTCCAACCTTCCTTTGATTTGCTGTGTTTCTGGGTCTTTATTAAGACAATTTCGGCCTGTGCCGAAAGGCTCCTGTGCCAAGGAGCCCTAGAGTTTCTCTTATTCTTTCCTCTAATATTTTTAGGGTGTCTGCTTTGACTCTGAGGTCTTTGATCCATTTGGAGTTGATTCTGATGCAGGGTGATATATAAGGATCTAGCTTTAGTTTTCTACAGGTGTTTAACCAATTTTGCCAGCACCATGTACTGAAGAGGTTGTCTTTCTTCCATTCTATTTTTTAGCTCCCTTATTTATTAATTATAAGCTTCTCTCATAGAACCCATGAACTTCAACTGTCCAAGAAATCCACTGAGAACATTCCCAGGGCAGCTGGGTCAGAGAGTGGGGGATTCAGTATGGGTGGCAGCAACTTGAGGGAGAACCAAGTGATAGGTATCTATCAAAAGCAGAGCCAGTGGAAAATAAAATTTGAAAACCCTCTAAGAAGAAGGGCAGAGTAGAGAGACAACCCTGACAGTAAGGACAGACACAATTTAGAGGAAAAACTAGATAAGAATGCCAGAGCCAGCAGAAGAGCTGGGCATGAGAAGGACTAAAACAGTATCCAGTTGCTATGACCATGAAGAAATCAGCATCGGGAGCTAGAGTGAAAGGATGGCAACCTTCTGGTGAGACGTCGGGGGAGAGACAGCAATGTGGGAAGTAGGGAACAGCCATACTCTCTACCAGCTACACTGTGCAGGAGGGATGTGATGGTTATCTACACATTGGTTGAAGAAGATGGCAGGGCTTTGAACCTGATTCCATGGAGAGAGCATTGAATCAACAGAGTACAAGGTTCAACTGGAGTAAACGTGAAGAGCTAGTACATGAAGTCATTTCTCCAAAAAGCTGAGAGAGATGGACAGACTCATCTTAAACAAAAGCCACATGTAACAAGACAAATCTACCCAGGCCTCTTCTCCCATGTCAGGGTGAAGGAGGTTTTCCTCTAATACCACTTAACAAAGTTAAGTGATACAGGATGTTTTCACCTGGCTGCTAATCTATCTGTTCTCTCAAGGGGTGGGCTTGTGTGACTGCCATCATTCATGGGGACTGGGTCATTGCCTTCTTTATTCCCATCCTTTTACCAAAACTACAGTCAAGGAACAAGGCAGAATGAGCACCTACATTATTATTATTATTATTATTATTATTATTATTATTATTATTATTATTATTATTATGCCAGTCCTGGGGCTTGAACTAGGCCTGTGAACTGTACCTGAGCTTTTTTTTTCAAGGCTAACTAATACTCTACCACAAGAGCCACAGCTCTACCTCTGGCTTTTTTAGTAGTTAAGTAGAGATCACAGTCTCACGTCCTTTCTTCCCTGGGCTGGCATCAAACCTTGATCCTTAGATCTCAGCCTTCTGAGGAGCTAGGATTATTGATGTGAGCCACTGGCACCAGGCTTTGTTGTTGTTATTGTTGTTTGTTCATGACTGAAAATAGAACTCAATATCCAATGCTTTTGCTCATTAGCTGGCGCTCTACCACTTGAGCCATACCTGAGCCATACCTCTCCACACCTACATTTGAAGCTGAGGTCTCCTTCCTTTCTCTCACCCACAGGGCCCCTGGAAGAACACTCAATGATTTAAAGCCAAACCCTTTCCTACAGACAGAGACTGAAGTAACATGCACTGGCTCCCCCTGCCAATAAGACTGAGAAGTGATTTCAAAACACCAAGCTCACAGCCCTGGAGGATTTGACTCTCTTGGGTCATCCCTCTGATTTCTTCTACTGGCAGACTGTAGTTTTCCAAGTGCATGTTAGAGCTTCCTCTGTTCCCTTCTTGCTGTGGCTCCAACCAGAAACTCTGATTACTCATTTTATTTTGTCTTACTTTTATTTCTGCAAACAGCCTTGTCTAAAAATCTGTTTTGTTTTGTTTTGTTTTCAGAGATAGGATCTTGCTAAATAATATGTGTGCCTCAAACTCACAATCCTCCAGCCTTAGACTCCTGAGTAAGTACTGAGATTGCAGGCATGTACTACCATACCCAGCCTGAAAATATTTCACTTCTAAAAGTTCATCTTCAACCTGAATATAAGCTCTGTGCCAGCAGGAATGAAGACTGTCTTTCCCAGTCAGTCTTGAATTCTTTAAGGAGTTCAGTAACCACTGTAGAATTTGTTCCCATTGCAGTTGAATGGTAACCTTTACACTGTCTTCATGAGAAGACAAGAACTGGGAACTCTTTAACAGAGAGTATCCTGCTTCAGATCCTGGCCTTAAGACAATGCCTAATGCAAAATAGAAATTAATTCTATTGACTGAATAAATGAAATGTTTCAGGAGGAGTTAATATAAATTCTTCTCAGTCTATAATGACAGTTCACTACCCGTATAACTCCAGATAAATCACTTTTTATGGACTTTAGTTTTCTTATCTATTAAATAAATTGTATGGACCAGATCAGCAGTTCCTACATTTTAAAGGTGGAGCATGAGAATTTCTGGAGGTTAACCAAGAAATTCGGTAAATATTTTTTAAAACTTTCCTGACATGTGAACTACACATCACTAGATGACTGCTGAGATCACGCTGGTGCTATCATTCTGCAATTTCATGTCTGAATACCGAGCCTGTACCAAATTGATTATCAACACAGCCAATACTTAGGAATTCCCAAACTTGGGATGCCATATAATCCCTCTGGGATTCACATACTAGCTGGCCTCTCAACCCAGGCCAGCTGGGGTGGTTTGTAGGCCATGGCTTGCTTCTGGTAGTGTTTTTCAAATTATTCTGATGACAGCAATCACTTGAAACGCTTGTTATAAATGCATCATTAGGGTTATTTGAAAAATTTAGGAAATTAAAATTGTAAAGTAGAACAGTGGAATTAACATTATTAACAAATGTGAACATAATCACAATCTCTGTGACCCATAAATTTACTTTGGGAACTTCTTTTTTGTGGGGGGTGAGGAGGAGCAGTCCAGACGTGGGGCCTGAACTCTGGGCCTGGGCGCTATCCCTCAGCTCTTCAGCTCAAGGCCAGCACTGTACCACTTGAGCCACAGTGCCACTTCCAGCTTTTTTCTTTTTGCTTATGTAGTGCTGAGGAATCTAACCCAGGGCCTCTGGCATGCAAGGCAAGCGTTCTACCACTGAGCCACCTTTCCAGCCCTACTTTCAGAACTTCTATTCAAGGACAAGGAAAAGAGGTTGAGGAAGAGGGCCAACAATGAGTTGTAGTAGCTGTTGAAATATTCCAGGCTATAAAATAGCATAAGGACAAGGCAATTTTGGAAATCATAGTTACATGGGATAGCCCAGGTTACATGGATTGTTTATCAAGGTCTATCTTTCTAAGGTCATCTACTGCCTAAGTTCTACCTTATATTCTATTATAATCAAAATGTTCAGGGCGTCCTAAGGATGTGCAGAGTTTATTACGTAGTGGGCACTGGATAATTCAAACCAAACCAGGATGCAAACTCTGCTTATGAAGTAAAAGAGTTGATAAGTAACAAAAAACATGTGACTAATTTATGCTGGGGAAAGTATATATTATCTTTCTCATTTTACCAATGACAACCAAAGTTCACATTGCTTGAGAGGTAGTCCCCATTATTAACAATGATTTACATACCTGCTCATTACCTGAAGGATTCATATGCAATGTAGAGAACCTTGATGCTTCTGATTTCATCATTACTACCTGCCTCTTTCACAAAAGACATTGCAATAGGATGAGGTGGGCAATCATCAGGACTGATTCTGAAAGTACTTTCCAGAAATACCCTTTGAGAAACCTACATGTCAGAGGATCAAGACTTCACCTGCAGTTACTCAAAGACATACTTTTTAACATCTTTAGGAGGAAAATGAGCTAGAATTTTCTATGACCAAAACTTTTGATGGAAAAAAGTTTTGGAAAGCAAGTTCAGAGCCACAGGAAGAGAATTCTCATTCTTAAGGGCACATTCTTAAAACACATGTTGAGTCACTTTTGGCTAACTTCTACTCCTAGCTACTCAGGATGCCAAGATGTGAGTATCACAATTCAAAGCCAGTTCAAGCAGACAAAACTATAAGGCTCTTATCTCCAATTAACCAGCAAAAAGCCAGAATGGGAAGTGTAGCTCAAGTGGTAAAGTGCCAGCCTTGAGCAAAAATGCTAATCAAAAGTGCCAGGCCATGAATTCCATTCCCAGTACTGACAAAAAAAAGCAACGAAATCCCCTTCATGTACAAAAAGAACAGCATTAATTCAACTAATATCATAAACATAAGATAGACTGTGGTAGCTTTATATCCTTTTGTCATAGCAGAAAATGAAAGATCTTCAAAGATCCTAAGATCAAGTCAAGACGGTCACTCAAGTTTGCCAAACATCTTGACTCCATCTAGTTGCTTTTGTTTGTTTATCTGTTTGATTTTTGTCCAATACAGAAGTTTGAATTCAGCCTCATCCAAGAGAGCTTGACTCTTTCACTCAAGCTGGCACTGTACCACTTGCACTATACTCCTATTTTCTTGATTTATTTTTCCTGCTCAGGCTGACTTCAAACCTGGATCCTCAGGTGTTAGCCTTCTGAGTAGCTAGGATTACAAGTGTCACCTTTCAATACTACTATAATCCTTCTACATTGAACCCTTCCAATAACATGTTCA